GCTGAACCAGTGCTCAGCACACAGAGACTGGAAAGCAGGGGAGCAGGACTGTGCTCTCCTTTTAGCCACTGACTCACCATGGCTTCAGCAAGTCAGTCTAGTAGATATTTACCCATGGTTGATAGTAATCAAAACACTGCAAAATTTGTGGACATGGTAATTTATAAATAATTATTTCATGCTTGCTGGTAAAATTGTAATTTTAGATGTGTGCTTTATTTTTACTTTTAAGGTTTTTTTTCTGTTTTTAAAAATGCTTATACGGTATTGTAAAAACAAAGTTTTCAATATGTATTGAATCCTGTGTTGTCCTGGCTGTAAGTACCTAAGTACCAGAAAATTCTAGTTTTTGTGTTCGTGATGATTAAAAGATGAATATTCAATAGTTTTGGGAGGACCTTTAGAACTTCAGTCAGTGGTAGGGGAAAAAAAAAGAAATTGATCAGAGCAACTTGTACCTATTTTAAAGGGCATATCAACCAGTAGATTTATCACAGGTGTATTAATTTCTTTTTATTCTTCTTCTGTTCAGTCAGATCAGGAACTATTTGACTGTGTTCTCTCTGTTCTGTTTGTAAAAAGCTCAACAATGCTGTGTAGAGTGTATTTACTGAATAGTCAATGGCAATGGATTAAGGTTTGAACTTACAGCTTTTACACAAGGTACGTGCTCAACAGATACTTTAACTGCTTGTACGATTGTGTTCAAAATGATAGATTTTTACACCTGGATGATTCACAGGTAAATATCACTTAGCATCTTCATTATGCTGGGGCATAGCCTTCTGCTTAAGAATTCCATTTGGAAATTAATATATATAAATAATAATAATAATTATGAGGAAAGGCTGAGGGAGCTGGGTCTCTTTAGCTTGGAGAAAAGGAGACTGAGGGGTGACCTCATCAGTGTTTACAAATATGTAAGGGGTGAGTGTCAGGGGGACAGAGTTAGGCTTTTCTCAGTGATGACCAGTGATAGGACAAGGGGTAATGGGTGTAAATTGGAGCACAGGAGGTTCAAGGTGAATATCCGAAAAATTTTTTTTTACTGTAAGAGTGACAGAGCACTGGAACAGGCTGCCCAGGGAGGTTGTTGGAGTCTCCTTCACTGGAGACATTCAAAACCCACCTGGATGCGTTCCTGTGTGATGTACTCTAGGTGACTCTGCTCTGGCAGGGGGGTTGGACTAGATGATCTTTCGAGGTCCCTTCCAGCCCCTAAGACTCTATGATTCTATGAATATGCACTACTGAGTGTGGTATTAAAAATAAAAAATCCAAAAATTCATAACTGAAACCTTGGCATTTATTTTTATGTGGACTGATTGTGTTCCCTGAAAGAAAAAAGCCTGGGTTTTGATGTTAGCTTACAACCTGTTGATTATACAAGTACTCCATGTTAAAATAAATATGGATATTCTGGTTGAATACCCTCTGATTTTTATTACAGCAGTTATAAGCAAGTAAAATACATGTCTAGAGTCATACTGGGTTTTGAATTTATAGTGGTAGCTGGATTTTAGCTTTAATCTGTTTTCCATATAAGCAGTTATGGTGCCAAAAAGTTGCTCTTGAAATGATAGTTGGTCTCTGTGAATGGGAGCCAACCCACTTTCTTAGAAAGTAAGGAAAGCAGGAGATGTTAACATCCTAAAGCCAGCAAAGGTTCAAGTAGTGTCTGGTGAAAAAGTCTGCTGCTGAAAACTTTAATCCCTCTTTTGCCTCTCTGAAAAAGAAAGAGACATCTCAGTCTGGGCTCTACTGTTTTGCTCACTCATCAGTGTGCATGGGCACACACAGAAAGGCTCAGTGATAAATGCTGGCATGATAGCTGCAGCATAAGTCCCCAGGCATGTTTAGTGACTTCTGAGAATCCCAGAAACATAAGGCACAGCTCCTACCCTACAGAGATATAAGATGAGATAAAATATGAACTAGAAGAAACAAATTTAAAACCAGAACTGTTACATACAGATGTGGCTAATGCATGTTTTCCTTGAAGTTTGCCCCACGGATGCTGATAGCTAGTCAGGGACATGGAGGTTACAATTTGCCACTTAGATATCAGAAAAATTGTATTGGCTGGGTTGTGTAGACATGTTCCCAAAACACAGTTTAGTGGCTATGACAGTGTGAGGAGTGCAAAAGGCTGAATGTGAGAGACATACGGCAGGAAGTCAGAGTCATCTCAGTAGCCTTGCCTTTGTATGTCTGCATTGCTCCTGCAGACCAACTACTTCAAGGCAAAAGGCCCCGCCTTCCATACATAGAACATAAATTACTGTGTTGTATATTAATAACAATATGTGTGCTCTAAATTTGGATAGCTTATTAAGTTGAACAATTAAAGATGGCACATACAGAAAATCCCTGTGATGGGGAGATAAAAGTGTATCTTTGTCCCTGGGATTCTTGAAATCACTTGTAATACTTTGTAGGGAGAAAGGAAGGCTGTAGATTTTAATAATGAAATCATAGTGATGATAGCAGGGTCTGGTTTGTGGCTTGGGAAATTCAGATCATTCTGTTTACAAAGATCATACCTTGTTTACAGAATTTCTGAACTAAGGAAATGTCCATAGCATAAAACTTAATTAGCTATCTCAATTCTTATTTTCTTCTCATTTCTTAATTCATATTACTTAAAATGCCTTGATTTTGTATGTATCTCAGTACTTCTGTTGAGCTCCAAAAAAACCAAGTGAGTCTGGCAGTCTGCCCATTAGGTGGAAAGTCTCAGTTTATTCAGGCCTGCCAGGGTATAGTCAGGTACATGAGAAATTTTCAGACTTTCTTAGGCTCAACTGACCTTACTTTCCTTCATCATACTAACCTGTCCTGCTCCCTCAGACAGAGGCACAGTCTCATGGAACCCAGATCCTGGCAGTGCCTTTGACTGGGCGTAGTATCTCATTAATCTCTTCTGTAACACTGGAAGGATGAAAAACTTAATAGAAGGTGAACACCCTTGACTGCAACCTATTAACAACAATCTTCAGATACTGGTGATATGCCAGCTTAAATTGCTTAGACACTTAGAAGAGGACTCACACTGTTTACTTCCTCTGTGCTTCTTTCAATACAGAAAAAATACAGGTTGGTATGGACATTCAACCGTATCAGTTGAAGAGAGGGGCAGGAATGGACCATTGGGTCTCTACCTGTGGATGTTAAGAGCTTCCTGCCTTTAGAGTGGCATTGTGTCTTCTTGTGCAGGATAGGTCATGGGACTTTGTTCTCTTAGCTAAACATGTGGTAAGGGTTTGCAGGCAAAGGGCTGTTTGTTGTAATCAACTTTATGGCTATTCCATCAGTAAGACAAATTGGTGGTTTTACATTCTAGACCATAAAGTAGCTGACAAAACAAGTTTCTCAGTCAAGCTGTTCCAGGTTATTGTTATTCTTCATGGAGATTTGGTCCTGTTCTCAGAAGGTACTCTGGAAGTTTGCAGCAAGGGGTTCACACTTAATGGATTGCATTGACTCAATGTGAGACTTGCTTCTCTGTCTGCTCAAGAAGAGAGCTCAAGTCAGTGTAAAATAGATCACTGTTATATTTAAAACTATGCATTTGACACACTTGGATTTAAAAAAAATCAGATTCTCCTGGATTCACATGAGATAAAAAAACATCACTGGCTCACACAACAAAACAAGCGTGTCAGCATTACCATAAATTAAGCCATCATGTTACTGTGGTCACAGTGATTATGCTGCATGCAAATTGCACAATGAATAGTATTTCCTTCTAGGCTGTATCACTGAATGCATGTGTCATGTTTAC